TCTACTCTCTCTCTCTCTCTCTCTCTCTCTCTCTCTCTCTCTCTCTCTCTCTTCCTCTCTCTCCCCCCACTTAATTTTATGACATTTTATGAGAAGCAAAGAAGAGGAAAAACATGCAATCTTACTTTTATATCTGCTTCTTACACCTTCCAAAAAATAGAATACAAAACTTTTATCTGGTTTATTTTTTTTTTGCATTTCTTAAAATTTAAAACTTTCAAGATAGAACAGATAATTTCATCTTCAGCTTTTCTATCTTTTAGTAAACTGTGCCAAATTCAATTTCTAGTCTAATCCAAATTCACAAATGATAAATCATAATCGTTGTAATTAATTAAATTAGAACAATGATTCATACATATTATTTGCCGTTTGCATTATAACAATATTAGTTCATTTAAGATGCGAGAAAACAAAACATTTGCCGAAAAGAATTTAAATGTAATCATTAAATTTTGATGTAAACTAAATACTGGTGTGTTTTACAGTAACGATAGGATTTAGGAACTGTTACTGTATGGAATTACTGTGAAATAATCGTATAGCACAAAATGTGACAAAAAAATGACAGCGGAAAGATAAGGTGATTGAAGAGAAAGAGAGAGAGGAAGAGAGAGAGAAAGAGAGAAAGAAAGAGAGAAAGATAGAGGGAGAGAGAGAGTGAGTGAGATAACGAATGAACGACTAAAAACTATTTTAATGCTGCTTTCGATTAATGAACATACACAAAAAATGGGAATATTTTAATAAATGAATTTTTAGAATGATCGATAATTGAAATACGGAAAGTCTAAAGTTCAATCTGGCAAGACAAAAAAAACACTGAAGATTTTGAAAAAATATTTTACAAATGATTAATATGATTCTTAAGAATGATAGATGGACATAAGATGAGATTTAACTTCTCATTTTATCAGTAAAATAGCTTCATTGATATACCTTAGTGCGAGTTTGCTTGTTTTTCTGTCTTTTTTTCCTTTGCAAGTTGTTTTTGCATAGTTCAAAAGTTCGCAAACAATAAAATGAATTATGCAATAGTAATCCTAAACCAATCCGTAATCCTTAAGTTAAAATTTCTAAATGCGTTCGTAATTAAAAACATCTTCCAGAAGAAATATTTTCTTACTTTGCTAATTTTTCAGCTTCAGGAAAAAGTATACAATTTGGATTTTTTTTTTTTTTAAAGAAAATGATAAATTTACACTAACCTTCGATTGTGCTTTCTTAGGAAATGCGACTTTTGGGTCAATCTGGAAAGTAATTTTTGGATAAAACTTTTATGATTAGCATAAGATAAAATTTATTTTAAATATTTGCTATGGAAAAAAATAAGGTCTTTAAGAGAAGATATCGAAAAGAAAAAAGAAGTTCAAATAACGGAAGGGTATAAAAACAACACTTTCCATTTTTATATTCATTTTTATTTATTTTTTCGCGAAATAACCGCTGAAATTACTTCCATCTTTAGTTTAATCTTATTCTGAAATGTTCAGTATTTTTCATGAACAAAAACGGAAGTAATTCAGAAAAGGAAAAAGAAAAAAAAACTTTTTTAACTGCTCAAATTTTGCCTTTTATTATCACGTAAGCTTATGAGATTTTTCTTTTTGCATGCATACATCCATTCATTATTATAGCGGAAGGTTTAAGATTTAATTTATATCCAAATAACGAAAAATAAATGCCTACTTTCTTGCCATCAAGTTCATGCAGCTCTTGAGCTAATACTTTATCGACACTTGCCGGATCGGTAAATGTTATAAATCCGAAACCTCTGTAATTAAAATATTCAAAAATCTGAAATCAAAAAAAATATTATAGGAGAAGGATTTTAAACAATCATTTAAAGAATTGTAACTAAAATAACATTTAAAAATGGAACATTAAATGCAAGAAAAAGAAGTAGTAATGTGAATGAAATAGAAATAAAATTTGGGAAAAAAAGGAATTGAAGAAATGGAAATGATTGCCTGGCCCTTTTGGTTGCTGGATCCCTCATTACCATACATTCATTTACTTCACCAAATTTACCGAAATAATCTCGCAATCCTTCTATAAATGAAAGAACTTTTCAGGTATGGATCAAACTTTAGTCCAATTAACATTACTTGAAACAATAACGCTTATTACATATGCATGAAGACGTTTGTAATAAATTTCGGGAGAATCTGAAAGTTTAACTTCACGCATTTGCTATAATCAAAAATTTTAATTTTTCAAAACCTTTTAAAATTTTTCACAAATGTCTTTCCCCGTATCTTTGTACTTGAAGAGTTTATTTCTTTACTTTACTACTACTACTACTACTACTACTATTACT